CACGTGGAGCGTGTACCCAAAGACATTAGAGGGCCTAGCAGACCTACACAAATACAGCAAGCACCCAGGAACAATCTTCACTAAAAGTGTGGCTTCAACATCGCCTGTTTTGACTTGTTCATTCTTTCATTCATTCAACAAAGGTTTAATAAGTAACTCCTATCAGCCAGGCCATGTGCTGGATGCTTAGGAATATATAAAGAAAGGGAAACAAAATATGACAGGTTTATTCTCCATATGCTCATAATCTAGGGAGAAAGACAAGGAAGTAAGGAGATTATTTTATTACAGCATGGTAAACCCTTGGAAAGAAATAAGAGTAGAGTCAGGCAGAAAGTGCCAAGGAAGGCCTTCTGCAATTATGTCCCACTGAATCTCAACAGATGGGTAGGCACAGGCAAATGAAGGCAACAGGGAAGGGTGTTCCACGCAGAGGGAACAGCATGTGTAAAAGCATAAAGACAAAAAAGGACTTTGCATACTCCACAAACTGTACGAAGATCAGAGTGCCTGTAGGGACAGTGCTAGTAGGGTAATGGCAATAGATGAGGCTGCAGAGGCTACTGGGCGCCTGATCATGAAGGGCCTTGAATGAGCTTGATTTTTTTTTTTCCTGAAAGTAATTGGGAGTCATCAAAAATGTCAAGCAAGGTCACAATACAGTCATATTTACACTTAATAAATATCACTTTGTTAGCTTTCTAATAGCAAAGAGAATGGAAACTTGGGAAACCTACCAGGGGAAATCTATCAGACTCATATTTTGCTATAATGGATCCCATATCTAGTATTGTCAAGCCAAAAAATAGCTCAGAAATAATCTCTTCTAACCCCCTTATTGTAGTAGATTAAAAAATTTATTTTCAAGGAATGTAAAGTAGTTTATCCAAACTATTTATCTTTTAAAAAAAATTTTAAAGGAAATAAAAAACTCTGCCCTACAAGTCGGTCCTCCTGGGTCCCACTACCACCTGCCACTTGGCTGGCTTTCTGCTAGGTGGGCTCACTCCCGTGGATATAACTCAGGGAAGATCCTCTTCAATGGCTGGAAACATTTACCAATTTTGAGAGCTGGTAGAATATCTATACTACGAACACGAGAAAAATTTTAACTGGTTTTGGTTTTTTTTTGTGTGGGGGGCGTGTTGTATCCCTATTTCCTCATAGTGATTAAAAAGTCAAACCCTTTTAAATCAGAGATTATTCCTGAGCTTCTAATACTATTTAAATTACAACTCCCAAATCTTGAATGATGTAACAGACTCAGTCCAAATGCTGCTTTTTGAAATCTGTACATCACATGGAAGTTACTTAACATGACAGAAGGCAACACGACTAGATTGGCCTGGTAACAAAATCTTAGAGGGGCTCTCTGTGCTGTAATTCTCCCATCCCCTCAATCCTCTACAAAAATAAACAGATTGAAGTCATGTTTCTATCCAGGAAATCGCAAAGAAATCCACAGAGGTGCATCTAATCTATATAATGCTACAATCTCATGACCCACCGGGTCAGTTCCTTCAAATGACCTCAGTGACCATCATGCAGAGTAGCAGATCCTAGTTTTAACAGCCCAGAGCCATCCAGCCATCAATTCATTATTCCTGAAACAAATTCTGCAAGGTAAGTAGGTTTCATAGACTAACACATTGTGGACAGATTTATTTAGTCAGTGCCTGGTGGTAAATTAAAGCAATTGTCTTAACTACACAAATATAAAAAGCCACTTGCTTCTGGAATACAAGATAACCACAGCAAAAGAGAACGGCCTCTGGGAGAATCCCAAACCACATGTACTCTAAAAGTCATTTCCACCTGCTTCAAGCAAACATGCAAGAAGTCAAATCCACAGCAGCTCCATTATTACTAATCCAATAAATATTAAGTCATCAACCCCTTCAAAGCAGAGACCCTGCAAAGGATTAGTGAGTCCAACATCTCCCTGCACAGTGTCCTTATAGACATTAGCTTCGTTTAAACTCTCGCAAGAACCTGCATGTTTATTGCCATTTCACACCTGGGCAAACAAGCACAGAGAGACACACACATTTGTTCCCTCTCACACAGATTCAAAGTGGTAGCTGCAATGGAAACCTATGTCCGTCTGAAGCAAAGCCTGTGCTGTCTGCACTCCAGGCCCCCACGTGTGCACTGGCTCCTGTGGGGGGGGGGCGGGTCAAGCTAAAATGCTTCTGGTGCAGGCCTGGGGGGAATCATGATGGAGCCCCCCAGGGAGTGGAGAATTCCAGAAGTCCCTGAAGTTGGACTACATATTGATTTGCTTTTTGCAGTGATCCCCCCCACTGATGAATTTAATGCAGAGGTTTTGTTCCTCTCATTTAATGGATCAGAGACCATGACTTGCTTAGATCCCAAGAGAAACCAGTGGCTTTCCCGCATAAACCCAAAATCTACCATGGAGCCAAGTGCTCAGCCTCCCCTCCATGAAACTTCTTGTTACTCCATCACCAATGAAAGTCCTGCATCTATTTGACCAGGAACAGCATCTTCTTAGATGGAAAGAGAAAAAGAACACCTCTTTTAAATTGTCTTTGTCTTGCTAAAGTGTTTCACATATATTTGGCATTATGAAGGCTCACTGCTATAGTTGAAAATGAAAAGTCATACTGTAATTTTGCCTTTATGGTTGTAAATTAGATTCACTGAAAGATTCTGTCAGTAAAATCAATACTTCATAAGATATCCTATATCAATCCATCATGCCAGGAACCCAAAGTATAGTCTCGTCCACAGTGTAGTGACTTTTATAATTATTTAATATAATTTCTAGACATATCCTTTATTTTTCACTCTTTGCCAATGAAATAAATGGTGATGGCTTTTGTGCCACGTGTCATTGGTTGGACGATGACAACCCTGAACATTGTAGCTGGTGTTGCTGGACTTTAAGCTGAAGAACAAAATTAAACTGCAGAGAATAAAGATATCCAGAGAGTTATGAAGCAGAAAGGAAAGGATCACACTTCTTGGGTGTTCATTCTAGACATGTTCATTATATGCCAAAGCCTGGGGAAGGCAAATGTGGAATTTAGAAAGACACCATCTGTTGTGTGATGCTCCAAATTATAAACTTAACCCTTGATTTCTACATCACCTGCTGTTCAGTCATTCTCCTCCTTCAGGACGAAGAAAAAGGGGGTGGGGGGGCTTAGCACATGAACTAAGCAGGTTTAGCAGGATTGATGGATGTGCCCTGTGAGACATTTTGATAAGCCCAGCATCACAACCTGTGCATTTTCTCGAGGAAAAACATTCCTATTATATTTTACTCTTAGAACAAACACTACACATACAGTGGGGTTGCCATAAGCTGAGGGTCCACAGTGACCCATAGCCAGCCACAATCTTTTCTGTAATTTTTATACTATTTAAAATCCCTGGGCTCTTTGAAAGAAAAAGCAGAGATTTTAGAAAGATTTCAAATCTGTGAAATGAAAAGTAGAGTAATTTCTCAAGTGAAGAAGGGTTTCTTTAAAAAAACAAAAATGTTTTTAAGACAGAAGATAAACAAGAGCATATAGCTCAAATCAAAAACATTTCCTGTTTAAATATTCAGAGGCAACATGCAGCATACATAACAGGAGAAATTTCCATTGAAAAGAAAAAAAAGTAACATATACTTCAAAATGCCCATGTTTTCTTACTTGTCAATCTGAAATATCCTAGTTTTTAAAACACATTTAACAAATGCAACACAGCTCATTCAAGGTTGATTTGAGTTCACAAAATAATTTTATTATATGTAAGAAAGCATACAGGCAATAAAATTAAGAAAACATTCACAATGCATAAATAACACACACCTGATGCAGGAGATATTGTTGAGTAGATTTCTTTCTTGTTACCCATTTCATCTAAATGTTAAGTAAACTGCTTATCAACAAGAATACTTTGTAAACATTTCAAAGAAATTCTCTTGAAATGCCCCACATGAATTAGTATCTAGCAAAGGAGATTTATGATACTTGTTACATCCAGGTGATGACACAGGAACGTGATTGCAAAGCACAGAGAAGGGCTAGCATTTGTCAAGAGATACTGATGGCTTTGGGGTGCTTCACACCCAAAGAGAAGGGGTCTCCTGTTTCTTCCAACAGAAGTGTCTTCCTCAAGGATGATAATGAGGCACGATTCATTAGTTACTATACCATTAACATTTAAAGACTTTTTTAAAAAATCAACTCTAAATTCAGATTACAGCACTACAAAAAGGAGCCCCACTGAGTGGCTTGGTTTGACCTGGGAAATGGAGATGCAGGCTTGAACTCTGTCTACAGGTGAAGCCGCTGTGACACAAGAGGGAAGGAAACCCACTGTCTTCACTACACACTGCTGAGCAGGAGGGTCATTTGGTTCAGAAAAGCTATCTGACACAGGAAATGAGAAAAGACGAAGAGGGCCAATTATTTTACATAAATACAAAGTGGCATATACTTTTTATTACCACCTAAGATCATAAATGTAAAGTTGGATTCTTCTTAAACTGGCCTTTATTTATTTACAGAACTGCAAATCGTTCTCCTGGGAAAGTCTTCGTCATTTCAAAAATCAGGAACACGACAGTAGCTATGCTTTTTAAAATTTTTCAAAATCTCTTTAAAAAAAAAAAAATCCACAGCATTTGTCAATTCTCACCTCATATTTATTTACGCCAATGAATTTCAAGGAATCATCACAACTTCATTTCCTATCAGTCTTTGCTGTGTTTCTGGAAGTTACACATGAGCATTTAGAATCTCAGGGAGTCTGTGTGTTTGTTTCATTGGCTTATAAAGTGCTAGTTAAATGGACAAAAATGTAATTGTAAGGTTTCAGATAACTCAGTTTATCCTATTAAATATGGTAAATATAGATTTATTATAATAAATTAAAAATATCCATATAATACAATAAATAAATAAAATCAATATCAACAAAGCATCTCTCAATTCTGAAACAAACCAAAAAAATCCCCTTCCTCCTGTAAGGCTTGATTATGCTTTAGAAATAGTTTATAAAGGCATGCACCTACCTTCACAATCTGAACACTTTGCTTGGACCAGTGTTAGCACCTGTTTGTATACAGCAAACTCAACCCTTCTCATTTCCTTCCTGGAAAGGTTTAATTTTTAAGTGAAGCTGTTCATTGTTGACTCTTTGTCCTATTTTTAAAGTCCTAAGATAAGAATCAGTTTCTAAAAATAATTCTGGAGCCAAAGACACGTCCCTTGTGAACAGTCGCTTCACGTGTCCCTCTTTGATTCACTATGAACAACAGAAAACACACTGGAATGCGTTTAAAACATAGTCAGTTGTGCGCTGAGGGAAAGCAGCAGAGGAGGGCCCGCCTGACATCTGTCTCACCACACCTTAGTTTCTTAACAGCAAGGCCCAGAGAAATCTCCTCTAGCTTTTGGGATGAGCATGGCTGGCAGGATTCATCTCGGAGTTCAGGTTGGTTGCTGTCCATTTTGTGTGATGGGCTGGATCTTCTCCAGAGAGACATCAGTGTCATAGTCCAATATGACAGATAGGGCCGGGGACAGCTTCTCCAAGGCCTTGGCTCCTCCACCTGCCTCCTCCTTCTTCAGGTCCTCAGAGGAGCCCACGGCATGTGGGATCAGATAAACCAGATTGCAGTCCTTGGAGATGGAGCCTCGTGGCTCATGATGGCTGGAAAACACCACGGCCCCATTGTTATTGATGCTAACCGTCTCTATGGCGTTATTTGTGGCAGGGCAAAGTCTGTAGCATCCTAAGAGGGTTGAAAATGCCTTCCGAAAATCAGCATTAAAGGCATAAATGATGGGGTTCAAGGAGGAATTAGCCCAGCCAAACCACACAAACACGTCAAAGGTGATGGAATCAATGCAGAACGGCTTGGTCTCGCCAGACCCACAGAAGGGCACCATGCAGTTCAAGACAAAGAAAGGAAGCCAGCAGCACACAAACACCCCCATGATCACTGACAGAGTCTTCAGAACTTTAGTCTCTCTTTTGAAGGACATCTTAAAGGAGCTTTCTGGCTGAGAACACTCCACGGGGTTTCCATTACCTGTGGTGGTCTGGCAGTTCTTGGCATGGACTGCTGCCCTCTCCAATGCCGAGATGCGCCGTATTTGTTTCTGGGCGATCCTGTAGATCCTGGTGTAGGTGACAATCATGATGGCCACAGGGATGTAAAAGCTTATAAGGGAGGATGAAATGGCATATGTCCTGCTCAAGCTGGAATCACAGTTGTCCATGGTCTCGCCCAGGGAAGTGGCATTCCCATCGGAGGGGCTTGTAGGTTTCGCCTTGTGCCAGCTGAGCTGCACTGGGATGAAGGAGATGAGTATAGACAAGGCCCATGCCACACTGATCAGAATGAAGGCTGCCTTGGGGGTCATCTTCCTCTCATACCTGAAGGGACTGGAGATAGCCCAATACCTGTCCACACTGATCACACAGAGGTTGAGGATGGACGCAGTGGAGCACATGATGTCAAAGGCCACCCAGATGTTACAGAAGGACCCAAAGGGCCAGAAGCCAGCTATCTCGGCCACCGCTTTCCAGGGCATGACCAGAACAGCCACCAAGAGATCTGATACAGCCAGGGAGATAACGAAGAAGTTGGTCACTTTGGACCGCAGGTGTCGGAACCTGATGACGGCGGCACAGACCAGCGTGTTCCCCAGGAGCGTGGACAGGATGAGCAGCGACAGGAAACAGGCTGTGAGGATGCGGAAGGAGAAGTCCCTCTTCACCACCAGCCCAGCCCCATCCATTGTAGAGGTGTTCAGAGTCCTCATCTTCCTGAGGGAGAGCACACAAGGGGCTCTGACACCCCTCAAGTTCCTAAGCAGGGATTACGGGTCAGTCAGACCCACAGGAGTGCTGGTTCACCAGGCAGCCCCTTGCACAGCCCCACTTCCTCCCCTGGGTGGGGCCTCACCAGCGTTCCATCAGAGCTGCAACAATTGCGTGGCAGGAGCCAGCCCTTGCCAATCCAGGTCAGCCCCTTGGAAGATCTCTCTTGCTTTCTACAGCTGTCTTCTGACTCCCTTGCTCCAGGTCCCTGTCACAGTGACCAGCTGGCCCCTCAATTCCCCATGGAAAGCGTTGGCTTTTTAGCATATTCTAAGCTACCAATTCAGAGACTCCAGGCCTCTGCTAAGCTACTCAATTGTAGTCACATTTTGGGGCTGTTGTCTCTCTGGTGGTGACAGAGAATTCTCCCCTTTGGAGGCGCAGCTGAAAATACATCCCTCGCTCCTCCAAGCCCCTGGCTCCGCAGCAGCTCCCCAAACGCCCTAAAAAGCAAAGAGAAAGCCAAGGTCGTTTGCCAAGACTTGAGCAGATCACATCTTTACTCATGTCAAGCCCAATCCAACTCCGTCTGAGCCACCTACCTTGCCTTGGGGTTGTCTCTCTCAACGCCCCTGGAGCTCGGAAAGCGGGCTTCGCGAGGCGCCGCAGCTCCGCAACGCCCAGGAGGCGCGCCTGAGTCCTGCCCAGCGCGCGCACCCCGGGTTGGCTCCCGATGCGCAAAAGTCTCCGAGGTGGGCTGGGGAAAGGATCCCGGGCCCGGCCCCCAGACAGCCGGCGCTGCCCCACTGCCTCGAACGGCTAGAGACGGTTCACAGCGGCCAAGACCCGAAAAAGAGGATCCTGGGCGCCTGGCGCCTCCTCCGGTGAGGCACCTCCAGGACTAGTCACTGAGGCAGCTTCTTTGCTTCCTTTCCCCCGGGCAGCCTCTGGCCCCTCTGGGCAGGGCCCTGCGCATCCCCGCGGCACTGCCCGCTACCTCCCAGGAGCGGTGGGAACGCGAGGCAGAGAGAGCCGAGCTGGCACCGGCGGGCGCACAGGCCGGTTCCCGCGGGGCACAGCCCACCCGCCCCCGCGTCCCCTCCCCTGCCCCGGAGGCGGGCTTCGCTTGACAGACAGAGGTGCGGGCGACTGCCGCACGTGGTTCCCCTGGATAGTGCTGCGGGCGAAAGAGTTGGAGGACGTTCAGGTGAGCGCTCGCCCACCCTGGGTTACCCCACAACCCCCGGGCCCTCGGATCCCTGGACAGCACGTGACAGGGCCCGAGAGATAAATCCCGATGTTGGACTCTTAAGTAAGCCCGAGTCTCCCGAAAGCAAAGCTCGGCCCCCCGACATCCAACGCCTCTTGGGGTCAACACCAAGCCCTTCCCAAAGACCAACGCCAGCAGGGATCCTGCCCACTCTCCCACGCACACCGACCACTACAACAGCCCGCCCCCGTCCGACCTGCGCTGCCTCCAAGTGCCCCCCAACCAGGGTGAGACGTGCCCCGCCGGCGCCTGTACTCACCGCTTGCGGGAGGGCTCGGCGCGGCTGCACGCCAGGCCGCTGCGCTCCGCTGCGCCCCGCGGGCGCTCACTCGCGCTCCGCCGGAGTGGCGGGCGCGTCCCGGGCTGCGGTCCACGCCGGACTGCAGCCTGCGCCCCGCGCCGGCCGAGCGCCCCAACCCCAGCGCCACGCGCTCAGCGGGCCTGCGGCGCCCTCTGCCGGCAGCTGCGGCTTCCCGAGGCCCGGCTGCGCCCTCGCAGGTACAGACCTCACCCGCATGGGCTCCAGCATCCACGCGAGACCCGCACCCGGATGCGCTCTGCCTTGACTGCCAGAACCTGGGAAAGGGGACTCCTCTGATTAAAATACCCCTAAAACCTGACAAGGGTGAAAAATTTCTTTGGCTGGCATTGCATTCATTTAACCAATATATTTTCCTGAGCGCTTACTGTGTGCCAATAGCAGGGGCGACAGGATAAGCAAGAGTAAGCCTTACTCTCAGAGACCAGAGAGAACTGGCGTGTACTGAGCAGCTTCTGTGTCCCGGGCGCATGCCTAGGTGGTTCACCCCTTAAAACAATCCCTCCTCATAGGCCTGCTCATCTCCACTTGACTCGAGTGTAAAATCAGGTTCAGAAAGGTGCTCAAAGTTACAGGGTTAACGAGGGTGCTGCTGCCTGACTCTCACCTGCGTGTTCCTTTCACTTACACGTCGCTGCCTACCAGGAGCCCCGGGTCTAGAGCAGGAGCCAACAAGCTAAACAATTACGCACGGGACTAAAATAAAGGGAAGGGCAAGCTGGAGGCAAGAGGCCTGCGGCGGAAGGATCCCCTGAGCCCCTCCCCAGCTGCCCCATGCAAAGACTCACCAGTCAGACTTGGCACTAATTGTGCCTAAATGGCAACATCACCGTACCTTCCTAAACGTGAGGAGGATAAACAAGGCTTTTCCATGTCAGACTGCCTGGCTTCCTGTCCCCACCCTGCCACTGCTGGCTGCGTGTGCCTCTCTCCTCCCTGAGCTTAGTTTCTTCCTCTGTGAAACGGTGATGACATAGTTTTCTTGATGACATAAGGATTGTTGTAAGTATTAAATGAGATGATGTTTGCAGAGGGCATGGCAGAGTGCCTAGGACCTGTCAGCCCTGCATGGGCTCATTGGAAAACCCATAGCCTTGTCTGCATGAGAACCACGCACCTCATAAAGAGTTACAATTTTCTCTGTAAAAACCCTGAACCTAAATAATAATTCCATTCAATTAGCCAGTACAAACTGCACCTCGGTCTCAAATGAAAGGACCACAATACTGACACAGACCCTCCTGTGCCTCTGCTCCCGGCTCTGTCCTCCCACCCTCAGCCTTGCCGTCACACACAGTGACACCATAAGTCATGGATCCTGGTCACAGCCATAGCTTTTACCACATGCCCAAAGAACCACATTCTTGTAGAGCCTTAAGCCATGCTTAACCTAACACTTCCAGATCATTTTTTTTAAGGCAGTCTCTCCCCAAGCTTCTTGACTTTATTTCATCTTTCTTTCCCTTTTACTAATAAACACAAATGAAAGGATATGCTTCTGGTTCAAGATGGTCATGTGAGCCTGAATGTTTAACTCCCACCTTCTACCCACCCCAACCTGAAATGTTTCCACTGCAATTACCCAGAAATACACAGGGAAACAAATGCAGCATGAACCCTGGAAGGCAGGAGGGGGTAGGATCCCTTTCTCCAGGACAAAGGGCAGATGGGATTGGACTGGATGGGGAAGGATTCCCCTGGGATTTTCCGTGTGGGAAGAAACCCCAGAAGAACACATCACCAAGACTGAGGTCAGAGGGGCTGGAGGCCAGGATGAGGCCAATTTAAAGGGTAGAATTTCTATCTGGTGACTGCCCTGAGCAGTGCCCCCACTGCCCCGGCCCTCCCAGAGCCCACAACTCTGGCAGTGCCCACTGCTCCTTAAAGTCAGACAAGGACAACAGCCTCAACCAGAACACCCAGGCCTCAGGGGTCTCATCTGTAGAAAGCCCGGTCGCAACTGGTCTGGTCTCAGCTGGCATCACATTCAGTGAAACACCAGTCCAACAGCCAAAACATATTTGATACGAAATTTAAATATTAACCAAGACCTTACTGGAAGGAAGTGATAGTCATAACACACTTCTTCATATCCGCCTTTCTCTCAAGCTTGGCAGCGCCCACAAAAATAAATCTTTTCTTTCTTTGCTTGAACAATCCCCTAAATTTTTCCAACCTAGCCCACACTGACCTGTCTTTTTCTCTCAAGTCATTCCCTGGCAGGTCTGGGTGATCCACTCAGCATCTACCAGTTTGTAGTGGTTGAGACATATTTCTCATCCACAGGTAAATTTCTGCCATTTTCAACATCAGAACTTGAAATCTCCTTCTTACCCATAACACACAAAAGGCTCAGACCCCAGCTAGGGAAGGAGGGGAGAACCTGTGAATACTTAGGAGAGAATTTTGTTTCCTGTCACCAGGAAAACAAGAGTTGAACAATTTCTCGTGACTCTAAGACGGACACCTGAGATCCCTCCCTGCCAGTCTCAGGCCACTGATTTTTGAACATCGTTGCTGAGAGAACGGGAAAGAGTAAAATGGAGCTTAAATCTCAGGGTTTTTTTGTGTTGCACAGAGTGTGAATTTCAGAGGCACATACAGTCTGGCTAGAGGTTTGGGGTTTTTTCCATTTTTTCTCTCTTGAAGGCAAGGTGAAATAAAGCCTTCCGTTTTTGTTCTATAAAAATCTCCCCCACAAACATCAAGAATGGGAATATAAATGTGAGCAGGTATTAGCATAGATCATGTTGGGAGTGTAAACCCAAACACAAAAGCACCTTTGTTTCCAGATTGGCTTGTCTTTTAAGCTCGACTGCGATTTATGCAATGCAGGAAGGGGGAAGTTAAAATGATGCTTTTTCAACAAGTTTTATTTGGAGATTTATTTGGAGTAATAGTAAATGAATACAGAAGGCACACTATCACAGAGGGAGGTTAATCTCATAGAAGAATAAATAGAACCACTGAACCGTCAAGTACAACAAATGATATATTTGGGAGGCTTTAGGATTATTAAAGCTGATTTTATATCAAAAGTGATTGCTTATAATGTCCATGAAAAGAGATAAAGCTTAGCTGACCTTGACTAAGTAACTAGAATGCTTGTTTTAGACCATAAATACTGCTTCTCTGAAATCCCTAATCTCTTGTCATATTTTCTTTTATAGTTATTACACAATTCAAAAATCAACACTATTAAAAATTTTAAAATCAACCAATATCACTTTGGTTGGTGGTTGAGAGGCTGTTCAGCACACATAATGTGTTTTCTCTTGTTGCATCTGATCTTGAGTCCCTTTTTCCTTTTTCTCTTTTTCCACCTTCAACAGGCTTAACTGAGTAGTCTTTAAGATTCCATTTTATCTCCTTAGTTGCCTTACTTTCTATCATTCTTGGTTATTTATTTTCATGGCTGCTTTAGGGTTTACATCATATATGTATATGTCATACTTGACGGTTCAGTTGTTTTATTTATTCTTTTATGAGATTAAGCTCCTCCTGTGGTAGCATGACTTCGGTATTCATTTATTTTTAAAAACTCCAAATAAAAATTTGTTGAAAAGCATCATATTAACTTCCCCCTCCCTGCAGTGCATAAGATATAGATAGATCTATCTATCTAGATCTAGATATCGATAGATCTATCTAGATCATATTTCATACATCTTTTCACAGCCTGTCTTCGAGTGATACTGTACCATTTCATTAGAGTTAAGAACCTTACGATAGTGTTCTTCCATGTCTTCCCTCCTGGTCTTTATGCTGCTGTTGTCATTCGTTTTACTTCTACACATGATATAAACCTCACAATATATTGTTATAACTTTTCTTTAAATAATGAATTATCTTGTAAAGAGATTTGAATAATAAGAAAGAAATACTGTATGTTTACCCATTTACTGACCTGGGTAGCATTTCTGACACTCTTCATTCTTTTGTGTAGATCCATATTTCCATCTGGTATCATCTTTCTGCTTGAAGGATGACCTTTAACTTTTCTGGTACTATACGTCTGCTGCTGATTGATTCTTTCA